TCCTGCACCCTGAGCTTTTTCACCGAGTTGACATTTTCACTAAATTATCTGCTGTAATTCCAAAAGCTCTTTTCAGAGCAGTTATGGCCTATATAAGGGTTGTTTGGCCTTATATGCCCACTGCTCCATCAGTTAACTGGTATCCAGAGACACTGCTGCAACTTTTCCTTTTTCCCACAGACTTTGAGAGCAACTGGGCAAAAATAGCTTCACTCCACATACTCTAACTGGCTGTTAAACCCTCAAAGGCATTCCATCTTATCCCAGAAAAACTTCGTTTCAACACTTAAAAAAAATTCTAAAAAATCTCTGGTTAGATAATACATGAGGAGCAATACTGAGGGATAAGGATAAGGAGGGGGGATATCAGTCTAAAATTGAGACAGGGAGAAGACAGCAGAAAAAAGCTGTTCCGTGTCTCTATCATAAGACTTATGAGACATCTCATGATGCTAGAAAGAGCAAAGTTCAAAAGAAACAGAAAGAAACACAGAAACTAGAGAAGGTATGGACCTCCTTATCAGGGGATGCTGTGATGGTTAAATATTTACTCTGGCTCACAGGACTGTGGACTACTTTCCGGAAGTGAATATACAGAAACCACCTCCAAAGCTGTAGGAACCTGAGGAATAATTTTGGGACTATCACTGCTCTTTTGCTCTATTCTGCTCTGCCCTGAGCAGCAACTGTGAGCCACTGCCCCAAAATGGGAACCCAGTTGGCCAGTATCCCACAAAACTGCAACATTCCTTTCATAACTATTGGCAAAACAAAGATAATCCTATCTCATATTTTATGAAATTTTACATATACACACACCGCTTTATGTCTATTCTATTTATATCAGAAATTAATAATTTTTCTAGTTTAGTGGTGGTAAGCTTGTAGCTCTGGAGTTTATTTTTGCTACAGGTTGTGACTACTTAAAGCTTTGAAATGATTTCACATTTCCTTGTAAAGAAGATACTGATCATCCTTTGATCAAGTAATGGTAGTTAGTTTATATTTTACAGTACAGCCACACAAATCACAACTAATAATTCACTAAATCTCATAGAAGTATTCCAGTTCTCCCTGAGCTGCTGAGATAGGCTAGATCTACCAGTCAGTTCAAATCCTGCTAAGCTAAAAATGTATAAAGGCTCTTTGCATGTTATAAGGAAGAAATAAACAATCCTCCCCATAATTTCACTTTTATTCCAATTATAAAGCTAAAAGAGAAGTTTCCTAAAAACAGACTCGCAGTTAGCTAGTATCAAGCTAATATATTATCTGCAGTTGCAGATAAAACTTGGTAAAAGCTCTCTTAACTCCCTAAACTGAAGGCTGGCTTAAAAGAGACACCCATTTTAACACTGGTAAATTTGTCAGCACTGGAATTACTGGCAACTGGACTTTCTTGGTCCTAAAGCCAGTGCTTTTTGTTCCATACCAATGCTGAAGTTTGGGGACATGATAACAAGACTCTCAAATCTATTTTCTGAACTAATACAAAAGAAACATTCCAGTTTGCTCCACTAGAGTCAAAAAAGGTCCCAGGATTTAGATGCTGATTACTCCTGAACTGTCAATCTAAGAATATTCCATTAGCATAGCAGCAGTAGTGTTATGGTCAAGATGACCTGGTTATTGATTCCTGCCTTATAAATTACTGGCATTTCATTCAAAACACAAAGGACACTTCGATTCACACAGCTGTGGTTTTGTACAAACCAACTTGCTAAGGGATGTGTTGGGTCTTGCCTGAAATACCTCAGCACCATCTACAGGAAAACAAGGGCTAGACAGCATCTTTGGAGCAAGGGAGATAATTCAAGAGGCCTTCCACTGGAATTGCAGAAATCAGCAGACAATAGGAAATGCTGGCTTGAGCAAATCTCAGATGGAGAGCCGCATTCCCATCTGCAATTCAAAGTGCTCTCTCCATTTTACTATGCTGTTCCTTTATGCCAAAGGCTATGCCAGAAATCTCTGTAAATTTAAAACAGCACATTGTCACTGCATCCATTTGAAGACTTGCCGTTCCCAGCAGCCTTTTCTCCTCTAAAACAAACAGACCAAATCTTTCGATCTTTCCTCTTAGGTCATTCACTCTCCTCCATGCTCTCGAATCCTTCTCGAAATGTGGTGCCCAAAAGTGGATACAATATTCATTACAGCAGGGGCTTTACAATCCTGAATGGGACTGATTCCTAACTTACAGTTGAGAGTCTTGTTCTATGCATTCCTGTCTATTTGCTCTTTCTGCAACTCCGTGTCACTTGTGACTAATCCTCATTTCATAGAGGACCACACAGACACTACTCTGGAGTTGCTGCCACACAGGAATTCTTCATCTTGCAGTTGCAGAAAAAAAAAATAAATCCTATTTCTAGACCATTTCTTCTATCTTAAAAAAAAAAAAAACAACCCAAACAAACCACTTTTAATTCCATGCCTGCCTGGCAAGGTGCTGCAGCCCCTCTCAACTGAGCTGAGTGCAGGTATAATTAAATGTATTTCTCTTGCATACAGTATTAATGGAAAAATACTGCAGAACAGCACTTTATTACCCAGCCAGCCAACAACACTGTTAACTACTCTTCAAATACAGCTTTCCAATAAAATGCACAGCCATTTTATATCTTTAGCAACACCTTTTTACATTTTCTTACGACAATTTCATGCAAAAGTGTCAAAATTTAACTGGCACTGCTTCTCTCCCTCTCACAATGCCTAAATGTGGGAGACACTGCCTTCTGTTACATCTTGGGGGCAGCACCAACGTGTGTTTCTCTGTGGTTAGTCTATGTCAAGGAAGGGTCATATTAGCACGCTCCATGTTCCTCCAGTCACAGCTAAATGCCACAAGATGTCACTGTGTCACTAAAATGTTCGGAAACAAGATCAGGATTTGCCTCATCATGCACAAACACACACCCCTAGAGGAACAAAAAAAAGTAACTAGTAGGTGAAGATTAATGTTAGAATTATAGGCTGCACAGAAAGTGCCTTATTTTAAACTTCAGTACAGGTCTGACGTGAGTTGTAAGGGAAAATATACAACATGCCTTCCAAAGAAGCTGAAATTCACAGGTCTTGAACATAACAAAGCACAGCTTACTGTAAGTTTTATAATGTGCGTTGCAATCATTAACTTATTTAGGCTTTCAGTGCCTTACCTTATAGGGCCTTGTGATTATACCCTCTGTACAAAGGGAACCGCAATCTAGGGAGGGTAAAGGGTTTGTCTAATATCATATAATGTACTCTACAGTCAATCAGGGAACTCCAGCATAATTCTCCCAAGCCCTGACAAACACCCTAATCAAAGGGCACATCATCTTCCTCCCCACTGAAACCTTCTGTGCTCCTTTGTCATGGTCTTTCAGCAAGCGCATGTTGTGAATGGAAGCGTTTGCTCTGCATGAGGAGTCAGCACTGACAAGCTGTCAGAGGCGACGTACGCTGGAGGAGGCTGGTGCCAGCTCCTGCTGAAATTCAGCACTAACTCCACACTCCTTTGAAATCCTTGCCAGAACTTTTAATCCAGCCAAGAAACAGCATGTTACACTTCTCATTCTGCTGAAAGTCCCACCACCTAATGCAAATATACTGTCCAGACATGCACAGTGTAACCAAATGAAGCCAGGGCAGTATCTGACTTGCCATCAGTGCTAGATGCAGCATTTTTCTCTTAGCTACAGGTTTAGAGCATTACAGCGATATGATATTCATATTATGACACTTTCCAATGCCACAATTCACTTATCATTATGCGCCCCTGTGCTAAGGAAGAAAATAATTCTTAAAAGTTGTTTTTATGAAAAGTTTTATGAACTAAAACATATCCAAAGGGAGACCAAGGTAATGATTACAGTAACAATTCTGCAAACATTTCACCTTACAGCTAGACTTCACATTGCTCCTCCTGGTCTAAAACCCAAGTCCCAGCGAGTCAACAGCATGAAGAGGCAGATAATATCCTAAGGAACAAGACAAAGAGATTTCACAAGAAGCAGCATTCCCACTTACCTGTCATATGTCTCTTTGAGATCTCTGGCCAGTTTGCACTTGGGTAGAATGTGATGAAACGGTGACTGCGGCCCTTCTGTGGCTGTGGAAAGTTTCAAAACAAGAAAGCAAAGAACTGATTTCAAATGAAAGAGCGTGTCCTCTTCCCCCACTAGGTATCAACCAGTACCTCAGGGGCAGAATCCATTTAATCTACAATCTACATCCTTGTTTTATCTACAATCATCTTTGCAATAACTCAAGTTACATGTTAAAATAATAGTAAATTAATGCCAGCTTCTCCTAAACCTCAACTCAGTTAAGCACATGTAACTGTGAATTTGACAAGTGATGATTTTAAATGTTTTTGGTTTTATGCATGTTAGTTTTATTTTTTAATGCTTGCAGCAAGATGATGCATCAGTGTCAGAGTTCACCTTAAATACTCCATATTATTATAGTAAATTGCTCTGAAGTACAGGCCATAAAGATGCTCTGTAACTGTTTACTAGCCATGGTAACAACATGTAAGAGTAAAGTTTTCACACAAGAAACCTGGTGACGCAGCACACAGCATTAAAGCATGGGAAATTTGCTCTAGGTTGGGTGAAGCAGGCTGCATATGAGTTCTTCCATCTCAGCCTGACAGGCAGATCCAAATGTGACGGTTCAGTGCCCATTCATTCTCCAGTGACTGCGCTGAACTGAGCTAGCAAAGGAAGTGAACAAGCTACTTTGCTTCTAAAGCTGACATCTCTGCATAGGGATAGCGATCTTGGATGAGGCAAAATGCAGTCAAAAACTGTCAGAATGCTAAAGAGCACCAAAACTTGTTCATACTGATCCCAGCCACAAAAGGAGTAAGAAGGCACAATCAGCACTTTTCTGAAGAAGTGCTCCTGGACAAACACATTCCTGCACAAAGCTAAGCTCAGCACGTACTTTCTGACATGGCAGACACTTCATCCTGAATAGCTAAGATCAGCTTGGCCTCCCTGGTCAGGTACTGGCAGCGGCGCTCCTCGTGCTGCAAGACTATGGCGATTCTTCGGGAAAGATTATGTAAGCAGTTTATCACAGATGGATCTGCATTGGCCTACAGGCAACACAGAAAAGAAACAGGTCAGTCATTCAGCCACAATCACATATATGAAACTACACTGATGGGTAAGCAGTCAAAAAGCCAGGCTGGATGGAGCTTTGAGCAACCTGGACTAGTGGAAGATATCCTGCCTATGGTAGTGGGGTCAGAACCAGGTGGTCTTTAAGGTCCTTTCCAACCCAAACCACTCTGTGATTATATGAAAATAATTATCTTCAGTAGATACCAAGTCAGCCTCTTCGGCAATCGGAAAAAGCAAGGCATTTTCTCTAGCAGCAACAAAACAGAAAGAGATGTCCAAAAGTAAAGAGAAGATTCTGGGATTTCTACACTTGTCTGTGCATCAAACAAACACAGTACCTATAGTATGAAACTCCTATCTGGTTATTTCTTCCAGTTGTTAATGGGCCTAATGAGTTCTGCTAGCAGAGACCAAAGAACTCGGTTTCACACAGTGAGAAAATAAAGTGTCAAGCTATTTGAAAAGGCAGAATGTCATGATGTTTAGGTTAAATTCACCAGCAGTGTGAGGACTGCAGTGCCTTTAACACGGCCCATTCACTCCAAGTTCCTATACTAATGTTTGTCTTATATTCTGACAAGGCAGTAACTATGTGAGAATTACCAACAGGGGATCAACAATTTGATCCCAAACTGGAATGAATTTGGATTTACACTCCCAAACATTTCACAAATATGGCTTACATTTAACACTGCATTTCTGCATGTTTCAGAATGAAAGTGCAGGAAAAATCTATCACATAAGTACAGCTAACGGGGGGGGGGGGGGGGGGGGGGGAATGACATGACTTGGTGGCTCCAGTCTGACTAAGGAGCTGCTTTAAATGTTTGTTAAGACATTTAAAGGAATTTACACTTCTAGCAAGTGATCACTTGGCATGTAAACTAGCAAACTATGACTCATCATTTTTTTATTCCACTGTTCTTGCTGAGTCACGACACGTTGGTAACCCTGGAGCTTGAACACAGCAGGATCGGTGCTGATTACAGCATCTGGGACTTTGCCTGCTCTGTCTGCCCTCTGCAGATGGACTCTCATCTTTATCTCAGAATGCCTCCACCCACCTCTGCAGTGCACTACACCATTCTAGGAAAAAATTTCCACTTGCTTCTTGCACAGCACTTTCCCCAAACTTGACTGCTCTCTATGAACTAAGGATGTCTCATTTGGCAAATGATTTAATGCCACATTACACACACAATTACATCAAAATCATCACAGTGCCAAAAGGAGAAAAAAGCAAGTTTTCCCAGGAAAACCACTAGAAATTAGATTGTGGAAAAATGTGGGCTAGGTGTAGTCTTCACTGCATTTCAGCAAGCTCTTGTAATATTGTGAACAAAAGAGCATTGGTTTCAACACTTCTACTTCCACATGACTCCATGTGCACCCATGTTTGTGTTCACATGTACATCTATACACACTTACCTACAACAAAGCATGGCGCTTTACCAATACACCAAACAATACAATTCCTTGAAGCTAAGGTCTCTTAATGTGTGAAATCTAAACTCAACCCCTGCATTGCAAGTCCTGTCAGGACTTCCTGACTTAAGAATGTCCCAAAGCACAAGAACTCTGGATCCCCAGCAGAACCCAGCGCACAATTTCTTGCTTGGTTCAGACTGGCTGCTGGGATAATTGTCTTGTGTGAAATTTTGCTCTTCAGCTGAGCTCAAGCCACCCAGACTGTGGTCATGGCAGTGTTAGCTGCCATGGAAAAGCCAGCAGTAAGAGAAGGACTAGTGCTAAAAGGAAGAAAACAAATATAAAATCATGACATTATATCCAGTCAAACAAAAATCAGTAATTTCCATAGAGACAGCTATTTCAAGTCCCTCTTTTTATTTTTAAAATGTTTCTTCATATGTGTACGTGCCACAAAAATAAAATGATAGCTCCACAGATGCGACCTGCAAGCTGGAAAGAGAAAGCCAGAGCTCAAAAATCAAGTAATGCTCAAACATCCCAAAATTTCTAGGTTTTACACCACCTAATTAGCACAGCCAGAATCCCTTAACACAGATACCAACATCTAGTCGGTAGAGTAGGCCTAAAAAAATTCCAATCAAAAGCTGTATATTTGCATCATAACCTACTTCCTCTGTACTTGTACCTTCTTCTCATTTAGAATGCTACAGCTGCTGCTCCCTGGTACTCCACATCTCACTGCTAAGAGGAAGTAGCTTTCAAATACTGTCTATTTCATTATAAAAGAAAAAAAAACTGCAACAAGAATCTTGTTGCACTGAACAAAGGTACATGTGCTTGTAACATACAGCATGAGTAAGGGCTCAAAACAGCATTGTTCTGAGCCAGTCTAGGCTTCTGAATGACTCTGCCCTGAGGTAGCTTGGATTGACCAAGGCCATGGTGGGGACCTGACTCTTAAGTTTGGCCAAGCATGAGCCACTCTCCACACCGCCTGCTGCCCCTGCTTCTGGAGCACAGCTGATCGCCAATGTCTGAGCTGCATGGAGTCACAAGGCCTCAGGAAGGTGCAGCTGTATGGATTTGGTCCTGGGAAGGAGCAGAACAGTCAGGTACAGAGTGTGGCATCTGACACAGGACAGTCAGACCCAGGCTGCCTTCTCCCACAGCTCTGCTGGTCAAACCTTAATTGCAGGGCCTAGAAAGTCACAGCAAATTACCAGCTCACTAATAATGGAAGACAAGATACATGCAGAACTTGCAACTGGGTTCATCTCTGTTTTGCAAAGTGGTTTTTTTGCATGTCTTTACATTCTGGATATATAAAAACAAACACTCAGAAAATGTCCAGAAGAGTACTTGTTTTCCATTGGCCTGAAAACTTTCCAACTTGTCACTGCCATATTCTACATTGTTTAGGTCCATTGTTTCAAATTCAAATCCAAAATCCAATGAAATGTTTTACAAAAGATTACTGGAACCTGAATCTACTGCATTCTCTTATACATCCAAATCACATCCCGCTGTCAGATGGAATGAAGACAGTCCTTACCCTTAGTGCAAACACCACGTTGAAGAGAATCATTGTGGGCATCTCTCTCTTTGGTGAGGGATCAGTTTTGGATACCTGAAAAATATTTTTCAATAAATCCCACAGGCTAGTGTCAACTGGGTCCAGTAACAAAGAGGGAAAGAAGCCTAACTCAGTCAAATAGCAAGTTTACTGAGTAAAGAGAGCAGACAAATCAAATTATACCATCAAATTTGACTTGTAAAAAATAAAACTATGATTTTTTATTTTTTTTTTAATTAAAGTGCCACAGTTACTCTACGACACTGCCTTTTTTGAGAAGCTGTGAAGACTTAAACCAAAGCATTTTGGTCATGACCATAGAACATAGCAGTCTTAATAGGTGTCTTTACTATTGCATTTTATCATCTTTAGGGACCCTACATTTCAATTCCCCATTTGGACTGAGTCATGTTACAAACTGTTGCTTTTATTAGACAAAAAAATACACTCTAGAAGTGCAGTACTAAAATACGAGGTTTTTCCCTTCCTGCAGGATTTCAAACACATCCTACAGCCCCCCCTATTCTTTCTGCAGAAGAGAGCTTCAGCCCTAACTCAGGTACAGACTTTCTGGTGAGAAGGAACAGTGGAAGCCATCACATGCAAGTTGAGGTTCTGCATTAAGACAAAACAACCCTGAATGGAGCAAGTGTCACCACAAGATGGAGCACAAAATCTGGAGGACATTTCTGCCGCCCCCAAAGTTCCCTGCTGAACACCCATCCAATCCCACGTGAAATCAGCTATAACCTATGGGGCCAAAAACCCAGGCAACCTAATACTGGGTCTCTACGCAACACGAGCATGTGTAGCTAATGCAGCATCTGAGACAGAGCAAATGCAGAGATGCTGGCAAAAGCAGAGCTGCATCCACCCTTCCTGACACGTCCCAAGCATCAGCAACAAACTGCTCAGCAGTAAGCTCCAAAATCTGAGTGCTTTCACTCAGCAGTCTTAAAAATTAGAGAAACTAAAAGCAGCAACAAAATTTTGGGTTTTTTAAGTATAAGTGAAGTCCTATCAAAAAGGCCATGACAGGAGGGTGGTAAAGCCAATTTACTGTGTTTATTTGTCTGGACTTACAGGTGCCAGGATGTCTCGTGAACTTTAATAGAGACTCAAAAGCATTTCCAAACATAGGGATTGATTCTGTTTCCTCCTTAAAATCAAAGAAACTGGCACCATTAATATCAATTAAAATGCAGGCTAGATTTCATATCACCTCTTGTCCAGAAAAAAAAGAAGAAATGACTAAGCTGGAAGAGAAAATGCTGAAGGAATTTGAAGAATTCTGAATATTCCTACATAAAAGGCAGTCTGGCACACAGGATTAACTGCTTGTGTTCTTGTAACTCCTGAATCTCATCTGAGTAAGAATTTGCTGAGCTGTCCTATGGATTAATTTACTATAGTAAGAAACCTGGAGAAACCCAAACCAGAGATTGTCAGGTCTCCCCAGTCACTGCCTTTGGTTTATGGGAAAGGAGCTCCATCTAGCTTCCTCCTAACTGCAAAAGGGTCCCAGATTTAGACGCAAAGGAACTAGCAGAGATGGCTGCCACGTCTAGAAGTTTCTAGACACTAGAAACTTCTGGTGTGCCTACTGGGGTGATAAGACACACCCAAAAAGATCCTACAAGGAGAAGCAAAGTCTTTAAAGCACTTTATAACTTCCTTCATTTACCCTGATGCATTTTTATTTGGACATACTGGAAATGAAGAGACATTTCATGCAAATAGGATAAAACTGACTGGGAAGTGGAGAGAATGTATAATAATATGTGGTGAAGAAATGCAAATACAAGTTTTTAACCTCATTTACAGCACATTTTGGAAGTTGTGCCTTTCAGACAAGATTAACAAAATAAAGGAATCTGATACTGTGAGACAACATGCCATGCTGTTAGGGCACCAACAAGTCTTAATGGCCCTGACCCATCCCAATTGGGTCCCTCAGGCTCGTCCCTGGAGCCCCATTTAAGCTCAGCCCAGGGCCTGTAGGTATGCCTGCCTCCAGCCCCATTTCAAGGATGGGCCTTCAACCTATGTTGTCATTGGTAGCTTGTCTCCTGGATGGACCTCTGGTTAAGAACATTGCATTCTTGTCCTCCAGCTCTTTCCCTGGTCCTGTTTCCTTTTTGCTCCTGGCTGGGGGACCCATATGAACCCTACGCCTGGTTCATCACTTGCCTTGACTGGGGGTGTTGATGTAGTTGCACAGCTTGGGGACGCCTGAATTCTCTCTTCCAACACAGCTTAAACATTTGAGGACTGAGTCTCGGTGACCCTACATCACATTTCTGGTAGACCCTAGACTGAGTTTCAAAAGTGGAACACGAGCATCTTTTGATGCTTGGAGCCAGCTCCTCACTTGGATTAAAGCAGTCTGGTCCAAATATCAAGCAGCAGATGCTAACAATCTGTTTCCATCTCTAATTATAGAGAGAACGATAAAATCGGCAAGCAGATTTTTTTTCCTGAAAAAGTGAGTGACTTAGTAAATGTGATGAAAAATGAGACCAAAGCAGTTCAGTGCAAGAGAAATCAGAGTTAAAATTCAGAAATTACCAAAGCCCACTTCATTCTTACAGTCCATCTTGTGACTTTGTCCACAAGAAGATTTTAGACCTCTTTCAACTTCCTGCCTGTTCTAAGCAAGCCTTGTGAATGACCTTTAGCACCAGTAAGAGTTAAAAGCCAAACAAGGCTAATGAGGCTTCTAGACTTTGTGAAGGTTTTGGGTTTTTTCAACTGCCATACTAATTAGAGGTGCTAAAAAGCTAACTTGCAATAACTACTATAATGAGAAACAGCTTTTTGAGCTGGACTGCTTAGTGTTACTTCTCTTTACCCACACTAGAGCAACCAGAAAGGGGCCTCTGCGAATCACTGACACAGCTCCCTCAGTTTGCCACTCACCGTATTTATCTGGAAGTAGAAGACAGCTTTGCGCATCAGGAAGTAAAAACAGGATCAAAACCCAACACACACATTCTGAATTCTGTTTCCTAAGCCATGCAGTTTGTAAAGAATGCAGGTCCCCAGAGTGGACCTCATACCATACCTGCCCCAGGGCATGCTGAAGCAATGTGGGATGGCCAACAAAGCGAACATTATCAATCTTCAGTTCAAACTTTTTGCCACACATATCTGACTTGGTAGCCAAAATTGTTGCCAGAATGACATCCGAAAACCTTGAAGAGCAGAAACAGAAGTTATTACAATTTTCAAAAAGCATACCTGCAGAATATTCCTCCAAATAGAGATATATTTAACTCATGAGGTTCTGAAGTATTGAAAGTTGTGTTTAATTGTTGTACCTGGAGCACCACCAATTATGTAAAATTAAGAACTCCTTAATTACATCTCTCAGATCATCACAATTACGAAACAGGAAGCATTCACGACAAAGGCTGCAGGGTCATGCTTATTTAATTACATGCTGAGCAAAATACATTGGAAAGATTAGATGTAGTTCGCTTAAATACAAAACCAGCTTGAGTTAGCCATTGCCTGGATTTAACTACAGGTTAATGAACTTACTAAGCAACTACATATTGACACAGCCTGTCACTCAAGCACAGAGATCTTCAAGCCACCCACTACGGCAGAGGGGAATGCAAGAAAAAGCTGATTCAATTCGAAGAAACATATAACCAACACTTGAACTTCCTTTCCCTAAGCTCGTCAGTGAGTTACTCAACAGCTCCCAGCCTGTGGTCAGCCTGTTGCCTGGCCTGATCCTGGCTTTCTCATTTGATAAACCAAACTGAGACAAATTCATGACAGGGCAGGCCCTTCTCAGCACCAGCCATGGTGTTACTGGATTGCTCTGGATTGGTGGTGAGAAAGAAAGCAGCTACAAGACAGGAATGCAAGTACAGGAGTCTGCCCTGTAAAAGACAGCTACTGCTGCAAAACAAGTAAGAATCCAGTGTGACAAGGGAGGAATTCTGCAACTGCTCTTTCTGACGGCCTTGCAACACTGGCCTGGTCTCTACAAACACTTGTTTTATTTAGGGTGCCTCCAACATGGTGGAGCTCAAATCCACAGGGAGGAGGACCTCAGCTAGCTGCTGGAGGAAACTTGCAGAATAGGAGCACTGCAAGGTTTGATATTAGCAAGTTCTTTCCTCACCTGATTTCTTGGAGGCTCCCATTTAACCAAATTAATTTCAAACCAGTTTCTGATGAGACCAATTTTTTAGGAATAAAAATGTTTATTTGATTTTCTTTATTTACATTCTGAGACGTGTCTCTGTCAGACCATCCCCATAAACCAGGCAGGTATCCCAGATAACATAGTATCACTCAGAGAAAAGGGCAGGCATGGGTGTGTGCTGCACTCACCTTATCTCCCAGCCACAAGTGAGCCCTCGATGCCCAGAAAAGGAATTAATGTATCATTTTTCTGGCTCATCTGAGTTATGGAGTACTACAGAAATTGAGACAAATGCACATAGCCAGGTCTTCTGCGTGTATCCATCTGCATACGACCCAGGGGGCATTTCTTTTATGAGACCTATATATGCTGAAGATGAAGGACAACACAGGGGCTTTACAAACTGTCAGAGCCCCAGTGTTTGTACAAACAAGTCATCTTGACCACAGCACATTGCTTACATTTGGCTATGGAAAGAGGAGCTGCGTAGAAACTTCCAAATCCCTGACCACTGCTCCAAACACAGCTCAGGGCAAGCAGAGAGACAGGGAGACTAACCAGAGACTCCTGAGATTACTGAGCCTACGCTTTTCAGCCACCGCACTGGGCTGTATAACACATGGGTTTCATGAAGAAAGAGCAAAGCGGTCTCAAACAGGACCTGGACTGATGGTATCTGGAGATCACATTCAAAATAGAGAAAAGAGTCACCATGACAGCAGTGAGTTTTCCCCCTCTTTCTGCCCTGTTCAGCTGTGCTCCTTAATAGGCTCATCACAGAGCCAGGAAGACTAATAGCAATGGATCCAAAACGAGCATATGTTTCAGGGCATGAAACCAGAAAGAGGGTGAACTAGAAATTGTCTGCTTGTCGGTAAGAAATTAGTTACTCTTCCCTCCCCAGCCTTGGCAAAGGATACCTTGGGAGCTGGAAAACTGATCATCAGAATGACTTTCAGCACTGTTAAGATTTGTCTTTTACAGGAAATTACACTAGCATATCTTCTAACAGATAGATGTGATGCTGAATTAACAGTTCAGGAGTTCCCAAGGAGAGTTCAGGACATCAACAACCTTCTGTCTGCCCTACCTTGTAGGTGGCTCTGTGGGGAGGAAGAGGTGAAAAGGTAGATTTTGTAAAGTCCTCAGTATCTTCTCACTAGCAGAAACTTCTCTTTCTGTGAGAGTACTGTAACTGCAGTCAGACAACATATTTAGGATAGATAACCCTGTGATGGGCTACACAGATGGGTACAGACACCTGGTACCGCCACAGACTCTCCCAAGAGTGACCTGGATTCCAGCCCCATTCTCCTTGCCTAAATTTATGGGGATTTCTGGTTTAAGGGTTTTCTCCCCCAGTGCTCTTCCTAATTTATACATTTCTTAGGCCTCAGGATGATAGGGAGATTGAGGGACAACAGATACACTATTCCCATCATTTCAATTAATCATCTTAGAAAAGGACACTTTTACTTTAAATATTTTAATACTGATTTTCTAATCTCTGGGGTATATTAGATAACCTAAAAATACTGACTTATCAGAGCCCAAGAGTTTGTTAGAAGCAGATTAGGTTTCACAGTTGGGTAGTAACAGTCCCTTCTCCTTCTATGAGACTACTCTGAGGATTGTGATTTCCAGAGGGAAGCAAACCTCTCCCGTAAAAAGGAATTCAGCAGGCAGAAACTAAACACAAGAAACAAAAGCTTTCATTTGCCCCAGATATCCTACCGCTCCTCTCATGAGCTCAATATAGCAGCAACAGCAGACAATCTCGCACTACGATACAAACCATACTAGTGCAGATCGACTGCTGTCACCAGTATCTCCTCTGGAAACCCAGCTGAAACAACAATTGCTTTAGCACATGGAAAAGGAGGGGGAAAAGCACCTCAAGCACAAATTCACTTCTTCCCCCCAAGAATGGCTAATAACTTTTTATATACCACAGGAACTGAAAGCAAGGGTTTTGTAAAGAATTCTTCTTTGAAGTACTTTAGAATGGGAGCTGAGTATGTAGGTGAGCATCTTCAGGTTAAGCAGGGACTAGAGATGCTGTTTAATACTTCTGGGGCACTGGGTAGAGATAAGTGCTTTTTCCTCCACACATCCAAAAAGGGGGTACAGTGCAATCATCCAGTTAAACATAGTAGGGCACCAAGAACAATCAACCAGCACGGCTGCTCAAAACCAGGTCTCTGAAGAGTTCTCTGTTATTACTGTGATTAAATAGTTTACTCACTGATCTGTACTTTTAAGTCATTGGTCATCAGACAGCAATTTATTTTAGGGCTCCTTGTTGGAACAACTACAATGCCAAGGCTATACTTGTTGCATTCTCATAGGATCACAACCTTTCTCAGTTCACAGAAGGGACAGTACCACACCTATTCTGAATACCCTACAGGAAGCACAGAAATGTTAGTAGGCCCTTTGTAATTACCCTGGCATACACCTTTAGCAGTACATTTTCTACAGACATTGTGATTTAGCATGTAATTATCTCATCATTTGGTGTAAAACAGAAACCAGAAACAAAGCACAATTACAAGGATGGTGAGAAAAGAAAGCCATTCTAGACAAAGTTGATTGTTTAGAACGTTTGGTCTTACCCGGAAACCAATTGCTCATCAGTTAGAGGACATTGGTCTCTGAAATGGGAACATGGCCATAAACACAAAACAAAATACAACAAAAGAAAATAAACGAGGCAAGTACATAAAATACAAAAAAAAAAAAAAAGAAGAGATAATATTAAAAACTAAGATGAAGTATTAAGGGTTAAACTCCTGAAACTCCTGTAAAGGAAATACAACTATTGCAGAGTCAAAAGTTAACGGTAGGTGAATTCCAGGGACATACTGCAGGCTTAGATTGACAACATGGAGAAACAGGCCAAGGCATTTTCATCTTCTCACTAACACTGGCTGCTGTAATGTGATCCTACAATACACTGCATTTATGGAGCTGTATTTACATGATATATTTTATTTCATGCTTACCTTAATAAAAAATAGAAGAGGTTACGGTCTGATTTAGAGCAGATTCTAAACTTCAGTTTCTTTTCTAGACTATTTCTGGCTTTCTCACTAAAGGAACATCCTGTGCAGCCCCAAATGACCCATAGCTTTTCCCATACCCACAAGACCCAGGAAAAGAGGATGCCAAACATTTATTGTTGCATGCACAGCCAGGATTCTACAATGGGCCTTGCACACAGAGCCACTGCTTATTCTCCCAGGGATCTAAACAACAGGTACAAGCCTGGCCAGACTCACAAGCATGAAATCATTCTCCAACTCTCTGCCTGTCCCCTTTAATCCAGTGATTAAAAGGAATTGTCCCAGGCAATAAGCAGAAACTTAGGAAGAGTAGGCTGAAAAAGTTTTCAAGGCAAACAATCCAAAAAGGCTCTTTACAACAGGCATACAGAGCAAGGCTCTGTTAACAGCTGTACTCACTTTTGTATCAGAGAAACAAACACTTATTTTCATTTTAAGTCAAACCCTTTTTTTTTTCCCTCAAACACCAAGGAAAAACAGGACTTGTTTCCTGAAATAAATTTCCCAAATTTACTAAAAAATTAATCTGATAAAAGCTTTATACTGTCCACATTAGAAAGAGGATGCAAAATGAAAACCTTAACAATTATTTAATCCAAAAGACTGGTCATGTTGAAAAGGGAACCTAGAGCAATCCTAAATGACAAACTATACAAAGAGAGTGATATTACAGGAAGGGTGTTTAAAGGCATGGATGGACGAATGGAAAAGCACAGGCTTACAGAAAGGAAGCCTTTCAGAACACATACAAGGAAGAACACTGGAGTCCAGTGAAAGAGGGACAGAGGATACAGAAATGTTATCACAGGAGAGCTACTGTTTGTTAGAAAGGGACATTCAATTCCTTGTTTGTCAGTAACTTGGGGTTTGTTATAACAGAAGCATTTGGCCAATTAATGACATCAGTGCTGACGCACTTGCTAAACCTCTTTTGGTTAGTCTGTTAGGCTACTAAAAAATGCCAAGTCTGGTCTAACATATGTTGCTATACGTGCATCCTCATTAGAATTTTTGCTTGCTGACTATACCATTTTCAGAAAAACTACAAAACCCATTTCAAACCAATTCAACCAAGCATTACCTTATGGCTTCTAAAGGGTATTTGCCTCATGTATTTTTGGGAGGAGGAAGGAGACATGGGCAGTCATCTCCATGAACTGTGAGGGCTATGTATTACTGGTAAAGCACTCAAAAACTGAAAGATGTTTCTGAAGACAGCTAATGATTAAAGGCTGAGAAGAAGCCAACAGAGACAACTGACAGGCAATTTGTTTTGACAGTGACAGATTCTTCTGAATACCTTTTTGTTGCACAGCCACCATCAACACACCTCAACCACTTCTGCTGCTTGACTTCCTATTAAGGAAGGAAAATCTGTATTCTGAAGACTCAAACTCACAGCTCCATTAAGTAGAAATTAATACAAGCAAAAACACACTGGTAACCTAGAGGTAGGACTGTCATGAATAGGCTGCAGCTGTCTATAAAAACCAAAAAGCTTAACAATGACCAGGAAATTTGGGTCTAAAGACTAAAAGAAATCCAATTATGCGTATCATTATGCTATACCAAAATGGAGTTAAGGCACCCAAACTAATCTAATTTCGTTCTTTCTGAGGCCATAAAGGAATACATACACCTCAACAGCTCCAGGAAAGGGCAGCTCAAAAATAATCAATCTGGGTTCCAATAGCATACGGAAAAAGCCACAGTGAACCTTATTTTTAGGCTACAATCAGTGCTAAATTGCTAGTAAATTAAAGACAGCCATCCAGTATAAAAAAGGATGAATCCATCCCTCGTAAAAACTATTGCAGCAATAAGGTAAATCTGAATCAACCTTTTCAACGGAACATGAGAACACAGCAAAAACCCAACCCCTCAACATTATCAAACTTGCCATACACCATCAACCCCACCTAGAAGTCTGCCCGCTCCAAAGCCTCAATTTGTGCCACCAAAACCATCCATAGATGCTACTGTGATGCAGTGATTAAAAGGGATCTTTTTGCCACCTCTTCCTTAAAGAAGCCTTCCGGAAATAATATGAAACCATTTGATAAATTACTTTCATCAAGAGCAACTCCAATCAGAAAAATCACCACCACCAGAAAACAGACTGGACTTCATGCTGGTGAAATCTCTCCGTTCATGCTGAACCGAGTGCTTCAGGAAGAGAACCACTGCACCACTGCACTGTGGAAGAACAAACTTACAGAGACAGAACTGCCATCAGGGGAATGGCTCTCCAGTCACTATTCCCAGTCTCAATGAGAAACCACAGAACACATTCTGACCAGGAGCGCAGGAGTGAAAATTCAGAACACTGGTGAAGGAAAAAAAACCCACGGGCTCAATGACAATACTGGTTTTACAGCACATGAAAAGTGAACTCCTTCTGTTCCTAGTTTACAAATCACATGCATTGCACCATCTCCAAGACATCTGCACTTTTCTGCCTCCACTCTCCCTTTAAAATCTCTTCTGCTCCAAGGTACCAACTTCTGTTACTCCTAAACCAGTCTGATACAAATCAAAAGTCTGAGCAATCTGTCATACACACTTCTGAAAATCCCTTTTTGCGTTGTGCTGGAAGAAGAGCCTGTGTACCTAAACCAGAAGTTTTAGGCTACAATCAGAATTAGGTACACTTAAGGTACAAACAGAAGTTTTAGGTACACAGGCCCTTCTTCCAGCACAAAAGTCCAGGGAAGGGTATTAACTCTGCCAACAAACCTCCTCTTGTCTAATATAAATTAACAGCACCAGCATATAAACAGCATCAGTGGTTTCTTCCACAAGCTGCTGTCACTGAAGAGAAGGATACATTTAACTGCTACATCAGTTGTATGGGATGCAGTGTACTTACAACACTGATTACACTGATACTGGGAAAAAGCTTTTCAATAAAGAAACACAGTTCGAATTTTTGAATGCAGATGCCCAGCCATGTAAGCAGCACAAGCAGTGTGCTGGACCTCAGTATCTGGCCTCTAACAGAACCAGCATTTTCAGAGCAACATAAATGCTCCTTTTCTTCTACTTCCCCTTCATCTGCATGGCAGCTATAGACGGATCCATGGGAGATAATTTAAGGTGCTTCCTACTAATAAACTGGTGTTGGCAAACAGCTCAATTTCATCTAAGAAGATGTGAGGCTTATAAACACCGACCTTAGTAAGCATGAATTTGTATGTATTGCTATATACGAAACTGTGCAAGTGACAACTTCTGTTTTCCGAACACCATCACTGCAGAGGGGATTTCTGTCTTAATATGTTTCATTCAGCACTTCAGAACTGTAATACTTGTGTTTAGTGAGCTCAGTTGAGAGATCCCTTTTACACACTAAAAGCTTAACAAATACCTGACCAGTAGATTAAACACTAACTTTCAAGTCCAGAGTTCTGGACACCACTACAATGAAATAATCTAAACCTTTTCTTAATGTGGGTTATATGCCAGCACATTCAACCTACTTAAAACCAGTTTCAGAAAAACACTAGCAGTTTTCTCATCTAACCATAATTTGAAATCATAAAAGCTTTTCTTAAATCACTATAGCAGCCACATATTGCATCACACTAATTCAGCACCACAGGCAACATTCCGCCATCATAACTCCATATTAAGAACTTCTTCCAACCTGCAGAAATGGCAGAGGCAACAAGAATCAGTATTAGACAGAAGCTGGTCCTGTTCCAACACTATCTTAATCTACACGTAGGGAAATACTAGAGCCAGGGTTTTGAACAGCAACCAACAAAATCCCTGAGATAACCAGCACTGCACTGAGTCCTCCTAATGTGCACACTAGCTGCTGTCCATAGCACATAGCACAATGCCATTCACCAATTCTCAAACTTAAAAACCAGGGCTTGCTCCCACTGGAGTTGTGCGCTGTACCAAACTGCACTCACCGGAGACACAACAGAAGGCAGTATCTGAAGGTTTCAAAGATGCCAGAAGAGGCAAGAGATAGAGGTTACTACCTCAAGCAAAATGCTTTTTCGTAATATCCCAGTCCTGGAAAAACATATGAATTGATGAAGTTTACTGTCACGGGTGGTTTTAATTTCAGGTAAGCCATTCTCAGTCACAGAGTTAAAAACACGCCTACATGTTGTGAGGTTGGAATCTAAATTTCTTGAGGGGGACACAAGTGATGAATACTCCTTTTTCACTATTCTATGAGAGAACAGAGGAACTGGCCCATTTTATTAATATTGGGGATTTAAACTTATATCACACACACAACAAAAAAAATCTGCAACTGAATTATGGGCCAACAGTCCAAAAAAACCTTTTTATTTCCCAGATTTGTGTCATATCCAATAGTGACAAATTTAGAACCATGCAGCAGATCTCAAATTTTCTACAGAAACTAATTACAGAGTTCATTTGTATGTACATGCATGCTGGACACTGCCTATTTTCCATGCGTTTGTTACCCCCTGATTTCCTGTAATGGAAAAACCCTTTAAGTCTCACTTTTCTTTTAAGCTACTATTTCACTCCACAGACACAAAGGCAGCTATATCTGGGGAAACAAAATTAGTTATTCATTAGTGCACAGCAACTGCATATGACAACTACATGAGCTAGGGAGGAATTTGAGGCAACTGAATAATACATCCAGTAAAGAGGTATGCAGGTAAAGAAAAGCGGAATTTTGCCAAAGGATTAATACTCCTGGTTTTGAAAAAGTAACACTGCCTTTCTAGTGGGCATGAAATACCTGATCTATACCTTTCCCAGAAAACAACAGATTCAGTAGCGCTTCCTCATGAGACATTCCTCATTACTAAGCACTCATTTACTCATAACTTTGCATTAAAGCATTTTCTGGCAGGCCGTCGTCTATACAGTCTGAGAAAATTTGCCTACTGAATCAAGAAGCAACAGAGCCAGGGGCCATGTCTCTTCTGTTTCAAAATCTTGAGCAAGGCGAAATGCTTCCCCCTACCTGGAGTCCCCATCGGGATCTTCTGTGGTGTCACCAGAGCCATTCACAGCATATCGACTCCTCGGTTTATCTGAAGCAAAGAACAGACAACCTTTTCTGGGAACAATTTCCTTAAAGTGTGTGTCAAGAAAATACTCATCTGTGCCCTTTAAAAACTATCAAAAGGCAGATCTAAAAAAAGTAGTATTAAAACCAGAAAGCCTCTTCATTTTTAGGTTGAAGTACCTGATCTTGTTTTTTCTGTTCTCATTCAGAAACACAGTAAAAAAAATAGGAGAAAGAGGCTAGGGGAAAGAGTAGAAAATGTAACATTCACAGAAACAACTTTTCTCTCAAGTGCCAGGTAACCCTTTGCAGTTTTAGACAGAGTGGAAAACAGAATTTTGCCTGATGCACTTCCCTCTTTATTGCTCAGGTTTCACGGCCATAATGCTCCAGAAGCCCCTCCTGCAGTGCCAGGTATCAAAACCCTTTACCAACAAAAAGCAGAAGTGGGGTGGGAGGGAAGCAGCCAGCCAAAAGAGAAAGACATCATGTCCGATTTTACCTATAAAAACAAGTAATGGTTTAAGGACAATTCTCTCCTGGTAGAAAGGGACTCACAACCTAGAGTGGTGCCAAACCTCTCATGATATATGTCAGTTAGCAAGCGACCCTAGTCAAAGAGCCTCCGGCAGGGGGATTGGACTAGATGATCTTTCGAGGTCCCTTCCAATCTCTAGCACACTGTGATACTGTGATCACTTCCACACCTTTAGGCCACACACCAAGAGCCTCACTTCTGCCCCTGCCTCCACCTTCTCTTACAGCTCCTGCTCATCCAGGAAAACCACCACCAAGCACTGGTTCCATAACACCCAGCACTAATGTGGTTCAGTTAAAGTGCGGTGTGAGGTGTGTGCTTGTGGGGGTGCCAGGGCACCTGGGGGGTATGAGGCATGGGGGTGTGAGGCAGGGTGCTTGTGAGGGGAGTGCGAGGGGTGTGTGGAGAGTACTTGGGGTGTGTGTGGGGTGAGAAGGGTGTGTGGAGGCTGTGAGGGGTGTGTGAAAGGTGTGTGTGGGACTGCGTGCGGGCTGTGAGGTTTACCAGCCCCGTAGTGCTGCGGGGTTGCAGGCCCCCGCGGGCTGCAGCGGGTCCCCGGCGGAGGCTCCCGCACTCCCCGGGCCGAGCTGTCCCCCGGGAGTAGCGCACTTACTGGCCTGTGCGGCGGGGTGCTCGGCGCCGCGCTGGAAGGGGAAGCGGAAGAGCAGCTTGTTGCCGCGGCTGCCCGAGCTCACCAGGATAACGCTGATGGGGCTGGTGCTCTCACCCATGCCGGCGCACCGCGGTACTGTACGGCCCGGCCCGGCACGCAGGAAGGCCGCCCGGCGCCGCTGGCTTCCGCTTCCGCTGCCACCAGCGCCCGGACAAGGCGCGCGGCTGCCGGCGGGCGGAGCGGGGCCGGAGGAATGGAGCTTCCCGGCTGCGGGCTGAGCTCTGGCGTCTCACAACCTCGATCAATCCAGCGCCCCGCAGCCCCGTCCCCAGTACAGCCCAGTGCGCCCAGATCAGCCCAGCACCTCACACACCCTCTGCCCAGCGCTGCCGTTTGTCAACCCAGTGTCCCCCATTCAGACTTGTACTTCCATGGACACCGCTCCCTGTTCCACGCATTTCCAGTTTATTCCAGTGCTTCACGTGGCTACGGGCAGATCAGCCCAGTGCCCCCAGCATGTCCCAGCGCCCCCAGTTCAGCATGATGGACCTGCAGCCACAGCGCTAGCCCCGGAGCTGTCACGCAGGCGCTGCTGGGGGCTGCTCATTGCCATTGGCCTCCATGGGTCATTTGTGGCCTTTCAGCCATCTCAGACTTCTGACATCTCCAGAGTTTTACTGAAGTCGTTGCCAAACAGCAGCGTGAGCTTGTCCCTCCCTAGCAACTCAGTCATTACTGGGTGCCCACAGGAGGCAGGATGCCAAAGTCTGAATCTTGGACCCCCACACTCATGGAAAGGCTCACTTCATCTTGTTTCTCACGTTCATTGCTGATCTCAGGGCACTTTACAGCACTAATACCTTGTGGTCCCTGATAATTTACTCCTGGCTCTAGATTAGTAAAGGTAACATTACTTCCCCTGGCAGCTGTCTTGGTACCTTTGTCTTACTTTGTCTTTAATCGAGATCAAAAATTATCGCAAATTACAGAGAAGATGTCCTGGGTTTTGCTCACAAATTCTTCTGTACTTGCTTGCATTATTTAGACATTTGAACACTCTGAGATATCCCCACTCTGGATTTTGCTCTGCGGTTCCCCCCAGGGACACTGCACAGAGGTGGTGGCTGAAGAGGCAGATGAGCACACGCAGCACAGGTGTAATCTGCAGGGCCATTCTCTGCAAGGCCAGCGATAACCATTGAAGCAAGAGAAGATGTCACAGAGGGGAGAGAGTGGTGTAAGGGAGATTAAAGAGCAGCCGTATTATCACAGCAGAGCATTCCTCATGCACCAGTACTCAGCAGCTACATTAAAAGTCCCCAGAGTGTCTGTTTTGAAGCATAATTTTACTTTCTTAATCAATTACAGACATAATTGTCTTTCCAGCTGTTGGAAGCCATAGTTAAGTTAAAACAAAGTTGCAAGTTCTCTGAACACTGTCAGGAAATTAAAGAACAAAGCCAGGATTTAGATTCCACTTTTAAGATTTCCAAAACTTAATGTGCCCCAAATTTATCAGAATTAGAGCAAATCTATGTGCCAGTTTATCCACAGGATTTCCCCATATGAGGGAGACAGTGCCCAGGGAGAATACAGACCCGTGTGGAAAGTTATCCCTGACCTCACGGTGGTGCCATTCAATTGCTTGCTGGATTTACAGTCAGGGCTGATGGAAATTATAATCCTAATTTCATAAGGAGCAAACAGTCCTGTTGCTCATTTCTGCCATTTAAAATGAGAAACTCTAGCAGCCTGCTTTTGGGACATGATTAAAACAGACCTATGTTAATACTAAAAGTCACCTTTGGTGACATTTCACAGCTTCATGACAAAGATTTATCATTTTCCCAAGGGTGGACATTGTGCTATGGGTCTGTGAATCATAACTCTGAGCAGCAGCAAGAAAGGAAGGCAGATCTGGTGAGATTTCCCAGAGGACAGAGCTTCAGTGTCGATCCAGTGACAGAGGAACACCAGCACCTATGTTGTCCAGCTCCTTGCATTGCTGAGGCCAGGTCTGCCATGCCTTACTATCCTGAGGGCAGCTGGAGCACTGGGATGGAGGAGCTTGGCTGAGGTTCATGCAAGGATAGAGATGGTCACTCTCCATGTCACATCGTGGGACATGGCTGAGGGTCACGCTTCTTCCACCAGGCACATTCCTAAGGAGTTCCTGCAATTGTTCCCAGTGCAGCCCTGATCCTGGGCAAGCAATGATCTCCTTCTAGCAAACCACTGTCATCCTTTGTCTTCTCTGTCTTTTGTGACAGTGCAAGAGTATCTCCCAGAATTCATAAAGATTTCAGTGACAGTGAACCCTCCACTCCAGTCATTGTGCCTGCATAAACCGTAATCCTGCAGCCATGGAAGATCAATATTCAGGTTAAACAGTGGGCAGCAAAGTAGGAAGGAGTCCTGATAGTCTGCCTTATCCCTGGGTATATATGGGCCACAGTCACTTCACTCGTGTGTTGACTGAGTAACCTCTGATTAAAAGCATTCTCACTGAGGAGAACTTGGAACACAGCCATGCAGCAGGCAGTGTAAGAGGCAGCACTTTGGGGAAGAGACAGAAACGTTGAATAAATGTATAATTAACAACATCTTTATTTTCAAAGTAATTTTTCTATGGGAAAACTGCAAGTTTTTGAAATGTGTGTAGCAAGGAATGGTGAATACAGCCTTGCTCAGTACCTCCATCCATTTAGGCTGCATGCAATGAATGTTGCATTGTCCTGTGCTCTGACTGAAGGATTGCTGCCCATGCCATCAGAGGCACTTTCTATTGGAAACTGCACTGCATCTGCATAGCCAGTTAGCTCTGATTTTTCAGTGCACATGTATGGCATTTATCAAAGGGAGGATACACAAAGAGCACTCTGATAATTTTCTTTATGGTAAAGTGATTGTGCTCACTGGGTCTGGGGTGAGTCCCCTCTTGTATCCCCTCTGAAAGTGAGGCACAGAGAGAAGCAAATTACCCAGCCACCCAGCCAATGGACAGAGGGCTGAGTGAGGAGGGTGCTGTGGCACTGAACACCATCTTAAATTAAACTGCAGATAAGGTGGTTGGCCTCCGCAGAGGTGATGATAATACAAGATCACCGAACCCAGACAGACTTGCAGACTAAAAAGTATCGAGTGCTTTGCACCTGCCCTTTGGGAAAGTCCAAGGTTTCTCCTGCTTCGTGTGACAGATGCCATGCAGAGAGCCTTCAGTTGAGAGCCCAGTGGAAAGCACAAGGGGTGGCTCAGAGCCCTTCTCCAGGTGCCACTTACCCTGGGACACTGGGGTTACCAGAGGATACAGCAGCCACTAACTGACCACATCCATACTGGTTCTCTAGCACCACTGGTTCTTTCCCACCTGACCCCAGGATGCAGAACAGCCCCAGGAGCATGGGGTCTATTTGTAGACCGATGTATCATTAGATCCCTGGAACCCTCTTAGGATTCCTCTTATCGGGACAACTATGTCTGGGGAATACCCTCTGTAGCAGTCAGTAGCATTGCTGTGAAACACAGACACATCTTGTTGAGGAATCTGGCTTACACATAGCAACCTTCTCTGCACAAGCATGCAAGGCTATTTAGGCAGAGAACACTATCTGACCTCTCTGACTGTATCAGCCAGCTTTCCCTGCATGGCTGCCAGCACTCAGTGGTGATGTGTACAGCTGCTGTAGTTTATCAGGGTGGCAGAGAGATTTACCTCTGCTTCATGTGCTGGCAGGATATTCATTTCAAGAGGTTCAGCAGCGACCATCTCCAGTAGAGTATTTCTTTGACACTTTGCCCACTTATCTGTGATTACAGACCTGTGCTAGTCTTTCCTTTGCTTGTTTCGTCCTTCACCCATCAAGAGCGCCCGTGCTCTGAAGCTACTTGTCACCTGTCATGGGCTCAGGCTTTCCAGTGCACGTCCACCATGTAGCACAATGCATGCCAGCACCGGCTGTGGTGCTATTTTACAGTTCCAGAGATAATTAACAGCGATCACACAGCTAGAAATCAGAGGTGTGTGGTATAAGGCATAAGCTCTCTCCCTGTAACCATAGGCATCGTAACTAGTGATGCTGTTATAAGCACTATTAATTGCAGAGTGAGTCCCTAATTCTTTGCAAGAGGCTGGCAAACTCAAGTCCTGGCAGTGCTGAAGCAAATGGCAAAATCTCCACTTATTCCCACAAAATCTGGCTTCACTCCCCCTCTAAACAATACTGCATATCTCCCAGTCTGTCCTTACCACTATTTAGGAATCATTTCATAGGAAATAATGTGCCACATGGCACCCACATATACTGGAAGTGTATGATGTGGCACAGAAAACCTCAGGGTCTTGTGTTCACACCTGTGAAAAAAGTGAGAAATATTTCTCTAAGCTCCTTAGCATGCTTGAATTCCATATACTCTTTAGCTTAAAGATGTGTCCTAATGCTTCATCAATGAAATTTTCCAGCATTATCTCTCTGTTCATGTATCAATATGTGTCCAGACAATTTCTACAGACCACACGGACATTACGTTAAGAAGCAAGAAGCTGATAACGCCAGCAAGCAAAGAGGCCAGTGCACTGACCCTTGCAGAAACAGACATGGTTTTGCGAGGAGATAAGAGTCTCCCACCTCCATGGGTGGACCTCTGGAGTGACCAATGAGTGTGGACAGGCGCCAACGTCTACTCTCCCCTTCCTCTTTATAACCAGGGCTGCTAGGGTGATGAGTCCAAACCCACTCTGAGCGTCCATCGCAAGGAGACTGAGCCCGCATCTTCCTGCACGATGACGCTGACTCAAGCTGACAAGGCCGCCGTGGTCACCATCTGGGCAAAGGTGGCCACCCAAGCTGATGCCATTGGGGCAGAATCACTGGAGAGGTAAGTCCCCCCAAACTCCTCCGAAGAGGGTGCCTCCTCTGGCTTTTCTATTAGAATGCACCTCGTGTAAAACTTGCACGAGTGAGAGCACACCGGGACTGGTGAGAGCTGGTGGATGATATCTGTGTTGTTTGGTATGTAATTATATGGAATTGTATCTGTGCTACAAAATGCTTCAAAATCTCACAGCAAACCATATTTTTCTAAGCAATTTTATAGGTTTATTTCTCATTACAGCAATTCAGAATAATTCATAGCCAGGAGCCCTGGCAAGGAATTCAAAGCCATTCATATTCAGTCCTGAAACAGGGTTATCACTGTTCGGAAATGCACTTAAAGTGGTTTATTGTACAAGTGATGTGCTTTCTCTTGCAGTTTCTGGACATTTAGAGAATAACCATCCACTAAATTCACTGGGTACTCATGTTTTATTGTTCCAGCGATAAGTAACAACCTGTTAGGAAACAAGGCAACTGGACCCCTCGCATGAAGTATAGTGCAGTAATCCAAAATTCATACAAATTAAGGAAGCTGGCACTAAAGGAATAACAGCCTGGAAGTTATTCAGAAATTGTTATTCAAAGTGTTATTTACAGCTCAATATAAAGTACTGTGGTACTCCTTCCAGTATTCTGAGTACCATTCGTATCAATTCTGGTTCATTCAGCTTGTATTAGTTTGAAGGTCCTGCAGACTGGCTTACAACGTAATATAAAAAATGTAGTAATAATTTGTGGGCCATTATTTATTTAAAGCAAACAAAAATACATTAAGTTCTATTTTTTTTTTGCATGTCATTCTTCTCTAGTACATACAGATTAGCCCACTGTCTAATCTGTAGGTACTGCAGAAGAAGGTTCAGAGAATAAAGACCTTCCTGACTGAACTTCTGTAGCTGGCAGGTTTACATTGCACTTGCTCTGAGGTTTTGCCATGTCATGCATGCCATTTCCACTGCTCAATCTCATTCTCATGTTCTCCTCCAGGCTTTTCTTCAGTTACCCCCAGACAAAAACCTACTTCCCTCACTTTGATCTCAGCCAAGGCTCAGCTCAGCTTCGTGGTCATGGCTCCAAGGTCATGAGTGCCATTGGGGAGGCTGTGAAGAACATTGAGGACATTAGAGGTGCTTTGGCCAAGCTCAGTGAGCTGCATGCTTACATCCTCAGGGTGGACCCAGTGAACTTCAAGGTGAGTGAGCACACAGACTTTCAGGGATGAAAACTGCTATCACAGAATAAAAGACCGTATATAATTTTGGCTAATGGCAGCTCGATCCCTGTCTGCACTGTGCAGCCTTGTCAACTCATGTTGCTGCTTGTTCTCCAGCTACTTTTTAACCTGAGATTGGACCTTTTAATGAAAGATCTGGTCTAGCTCCTATGCTTTGTGTTAGACAGATTCAAGTCTCTGTTGCCTTTGTTGTAGTTTATGAATCTCCTTCACACATCAGGTTTTATCACCTGTCTTGAACAAAGTCTTCCAAACATTTCCATTTGGTTGCATTTCCCTTTGGTGTGGAAGAAAGGAAGGGGCATTTGGAAGATAGAGTGGAATCAGGCAGTGCCTTTTGCCCTACACCAAAGGCAACTCTGCTTTTTTATATATAACATCAGGCAGCAGTGCTATCTAGCTGGGACACATACTTGTCATCCCAGAGCATACTGTGACCAAGACCCATTGCAGATCCTTAGACTAACATCTGTTACTGATTATGATGGATTTCATTCTGTTTTCCCTTACAGCTCCTTTCTCACTGTATCCTGTGCTCTGTGGCTGCTCGCTATCCCAGTGACTTCACACCAGAAGTTCATGCTGCATGGGACAAGTTCCTGTCCAGTGTTTCCTCTGTTCTGACTGAGAAGTACAGATAGACGATCTACAAAGAGGATGAGGGATGCACATCCATGGTGCACCCCAGCTGCCAGACCCTGGGTTTTTCATCCCTTCCTATGCAGTCCTCTCAAATTCCCTATGCAGAGGCTCAGTCATCTGCAAAACCCAATAAATAATACAAATGTGAGCTAAAGTCTCTGTGTTTTCATCTCCATGTGTTCTACCTGCACTTGACTGTTCTGGCAGGGGTGCTCTGAAATTTCTACACAATATGAAAGAAAAAATACTAAACATTGTAAATTCATTTAATAATTAATGTACTAATGAGTTCATATACTAATTAATGTACTAATGAGTTCATATACTAATTCATGTACTAAGCTGTGTAAATTCAGTGGGAATAGCATAACATAACATCATAACATATTCAGTGGGAGTAACCTAACATTGAGCAGAAGCTCCTAACAAGCTACAGTCCTGTGATTATTACTGATCACCAAGGCCTATCCCCCAAAGACTGTTTCCAGGGTGATCAGGAAACAGTCTTTTACCCTGCTGGGCTATTGAATGGATCCAGGCTTTTTTGTTTGACATATCCAAAACCTATCACAGCCTGGTGTGAAAAAAAACTGCATTGCCATATATTGTGATGTGCCCAGAGAGATGGTGAGCATTGTCTTCTCATGCTCCTCTCCATGGGGTATGGGCAATGTATCCGATGTGCTTCATGAACACCTTGGGCTATCACACCTGCTAGACAGGTTTGGTAAAGGGACCATTCCCTCAGGTTGGCATCTCTTGTTTTTATATGTGGAACTTTACAAGCATTTGAAATTTGGGAATACCAGTGGCCACTGCAGATCAGTGTTGATGGCATTTCTGGGACCACAGCTTTCCAGGGTTTCTCTGAAAAGAAGTGACAGGGAAAAGAATGAAACTGATGGTCTCTCTGGAGGGCACAGGGATCCTCCATACATACCTGTTGTGGGTTAACCTCATTGGGCAGCTAAGAACTACATAGTTGCTCATTCACTTCTCCCCCTCAATGGGATGAGGGGAAGAGGAAAGGAGGAATAAAAGCAAGAAAAGCTGGGGGTCACAATCAATCAAACAAACAAGGGAACATAAATAATGGTTTCATAAATGAAAGATAACTGGCAGAAGAAGGAAGAAAACAAAACAAAACAGGCAATGCAAAGGCAACCACCCACCATCTCCTGAGGGCAGCCCAGCGAGTTCCTGAGCCAAAAAGACGGGTAAACCCCCAAAAGCTCCCTGACCCCCCCTCTTTTCCGTTTTATTGCTGAGCATAGCATTGCGTTGTATGAAATACCTCTTTGAGTAGTTTGTCTCATCTGCCCAGTTTTGTCCCCTCCCAGCATACTGCACACACAAAAATCTATTCCTTGGCAGGGGCAGAGTGAAGAGCAGAGATGGCCTTGATGCTGTGCAAATGCTGCTCCCTAAAAGCTGGAAAAACAGTGTGTTATCAGGGCTGGTTTGGTCACAGATCTCAAGCACAGCACCGTATGAGCTGCTGTGAAGAAAGGTATTTATCAGGGTACATTTACTGTCTGTGTCTCTCTCAGAGGACTCCTAACATAAAAAGGTGTGTGCAAAGTCTTAAGCACACTCTGATCAACAGCCTGGGCTAGCACTGCAAGCTGTGGTCCTCATTTCATTTACAAACTGTAGGGACTGTGTTTGAGCAAGGGGGAGAGAGATGGTGTGGAAGGTCTGAAACCACCAAATTGCTCCAAATGTGTCACCAAGTGTACCACAGCAGTTTTAAAATGTTCCGCATTTGTGGGTCTCGGGTAACCTGAGCATTTAAATCCACAGCTTAGGTGCTCATCAGCATCTGGTGTGTCCCTAACCCCAAAGCTATGCCAATGACTTCATACAGAGGCTGAGTGAAAGACGTGACCATCACCATCCACCTGTGGGATGTCCCAGAGTTTACGGTGAGAGGCAGGAGCACACACCAGGGTGGGAAGAAGAGAAGAAGCCCAGGCCTGACAAGTATCACAGAACAGACTTTGGTAAGAGCATACACCAAAAAAGAGGCTCTTCCCCAACCCAGGTTTCTCTGGGCTGCTAGAGAGATGGTGTTTCTCATGGCAGATTCCCAGCACGACCCAGGAGAGCTTGTCCATGGCTCTCTGCTTCAGGCAGAGAGGGGCTGGAGGACCTGAGGAGCCAGGGACATGTGTGGGACCCACCCCAACACATGGCCCGCATGGCAGAATGGTGGATCTCAATAGGAGGCTTGTGGATGTGCTGGCACCCTCGGGACATGCCCGTGGCTGCTGCTAACCATGGGGTAGCACAGCTGGGTGCTGCCTCCAGCCGCAGCCTGGTGTGGGGCTGGTGCAGGCGACAGGGCAGGGCAGCCGGGGCCCCCTCAGGGCTGGGCCCCCCAGGGCAGTCAGGGCCCCCCGAGGCAGGGCCCAGTGCTGCACATCCAGGGCTCCCCTCGCCCCTCGGCACCGATAAGATAAGGCCAGGGCGGAGATGCCGGCTGCTATAAGAGGCTGGCCCCGGGGACACGGCTGCCACCGAGAGCTGCCTGCCTCTGCCAGCCGCCGCCATGCTGACCGCTGATGACAAGAAGCTGATCCAGCAGGTCTGTGAGAGGTCGTCCAGCCACCTGGAGCAGTTCGGCACTGAGGCCCTGGAGAGGTGCAGGCCGGGCCCCATGGGCAGGGGGGCAGGCGGGTGGGAGCCCCACGGGGGTTGGTGTGGGGGATCAGTGGCACTGACCATCCGGCTCCGGCAGGATGTTCATCACCTACCCCCAGACCAAGACCTACTTCCCCCACTTCGACCTGCAACATGGCTCTGACCAGATCCGCAGCCATGGCAAGAAAGTGGCGACCGCCTTGGCCAATGCTGCCAAGAACCTGGACAACCTCAGCCAGGCCCTGTCTGAGCTCAGCAACTTGCACGCTTACAGCCTGCGTGTCGACCCCGTCAACTTCAAGGCAGGCGGGGGACAGGGGACCAGGGATAGGGAAAGGGGGACAGGGGACCAGGGATAGGGAAGGGGGGACAGGGAACCAGGGATGGAGGAAGAGGGACAGGGGACCAGGCATAGGGAAAGGGGGACAGGGGACCAGGGATGGAGGAAGAGGGACAGGGGATGGAGGAAGGGGGACAGGGATGGGATGGGGGAATATGGTCCACAGCAGCGGTGCTGAGCCTTGTTTTGTCTTGCAGCTGCTGTCGCAGTGCTTCCAGGTGGTGCTGTCTGTGCACCTGGGCAAGGACTACACCCCCGAGGTGCACGCTGCCTTCGACAAGTTCCTGTCCGCCGTGGCCTCCGTGCTGGCCGAGAAGTACAGATGAGCTGCCACCCGCACACGGGTGCCATCAATAAAGACACTTCTGCTGCAGCACTATGTCCGTCTGTGCTGGGGCCGGGGCCTGGGGCAGGATGCAGTGTTGCAGTCGTCACACCAGAGGGAGGGAAGGAAAGAGGGAGGGAGGGAGAAGGGGAGGGAGAAAGCTGCTGGTGAGGCTGGTCATGATACAGGGGAGCAGCACTGGCCATGGGCTTCCTGGATGCCCCCCCAAGGCCCTGCCTGCTTCCACCCTGCCCCAGCATGGGATGTGGCTGATGCTGCTGATGCTGGTAGCAGGAGCCATGGAATGCAGCTCAGCCTCTCACCTTGCTGTGCCTGCATCCCTCGGGGGGGGCGGAAGGAGAAGAATGACTGCTACTGCTGAACCCAGGACAGTATCCAACCTTTATTCCATACCATTCATGTCATGCTCAGATCCCACATTTTTCAATATACCATCACTCTTGTCTCATATATATATATACATACACACACACACAAAGAGAGAGAGAGATCATTCCTTAGTGCATGGACCCCCAATCCCTATAAATCTGTTGAGTTTATTCTGTTGAGTTCATCTGGTCCATGATGTCGGCCTCCATCTCATGTAGCAGTCTTTCAGAGCAGGAGAGGCTGTGTGCAGTGTTGGATTGTTGCCTGCTGATGATACCGCAGAACTCACCTGGTTTCATCAAAGCTCATTCTTTGTTGGGATGATGGTTGGAGGAAAGTCAGGGCCAGACGTTGGTGACCTGAAGACATCTAGTTGGTGGGCTAGAAAAGTGCTACATAGCAGGCAACAGCATACAGTTGAGTTCATTGGCTGTTTTCCCCTAAAATCAAATCCCCTTGAGGTATACATCTGACTTCCCCATCTTCCCACGATACCCACCAAGTATATCCAGGTCCCTGAGCAAAAGCAATCCAATGAGTGGGTTTGCCTTTACCTGAAGCAGGAATGACCCAGACTGTCTTCCCCAGCAAATTCTTCATATGCACCACGGGAACTTTGTCCCCCTCTACAATATGTAAAAGTTCTGACTGGGCTGGGCCAGCCCTGTTGGCAGATGCTCTGGTGTTGACCAACCAGGTGGCCTTTGGTAAATGTGTATCCCGATGTTTGAAAGTCCCACCACCCATTGCTCTCAGTGTAGTTTTTAACAGCCCATTTTCCCAGAGGCTGGTGCATGGCAGGGGATGTGATATACCCACTCAATGCCATGCTCTTTGGCCCAAGTGTCTGTAATGTTGTTCCAGATCCCATTGTCTGACTCAATTCTCTCTGGGGTGCCGTGTCGCCACAAAATCTGTTTCTCAAGGCCCAGGATGGTGTTCCGGACAGTGGCATGGGGCACAGCGTATGTTTCCAGCCACCCGGTGGTTGCTTCCACCATGGTAAGCACATGGCGCTTGCCCTGGCGGGTTGGTGGCAGTGTGATATAGTCAATCTGCCAGGCCTCCCCATATTTGTACTTCAGTCATCATCTTCCATACCAAAGAGGCTTTAACTGCTTGGCTTGCTTAATTACAGCACATGTTTCACACTCATGAATAACCTGGCCAATAGTGTCCATTGTTAAGTCCACCCCTCGATCACGGGCCCATCTATATGTTGCATCTCTGCCCTGATGGCCTGAAGTGTCATGGGCCCACCGGGCCAAAAATAATTCACCTTTGTGTTGCCAATCTAAGTCCATCTGAGCCACTTCAATCTTAGCCGCTTTATCCACTTGTTGGTTGTTCTGGTGTTCCTCAGTGGCCCGACTCTTAGGTACATGGGCATCTACATGACGTACCTTCACCACCAGGTTCTGCACCCGGGCAGCAATATCTTGTCACAGTGCAGCAG